TATGATCGTATCATGAGATCTGGCTTATCCCCTCTTGATCCTATACTAAATTATAACCATGTCATCTTACGAAACTATTTTAGCAAGTGAAATATTTACTCCCTTACTCGACTTTTTAAGAAACGAATCTTTAGATCAAATCACCATCTCTAGGATTTTTTACCAGCAATGGAGTCTTTTCAAAATTCAAACTGAAGATGCGGACTGTGAATATCTTGAGCGTTTATTAATAAAAATTGAAAGTGAAGATATTACTGATGATCGTAAAAAACATCTGAAGTCGCTACGAGAAAATAAACTGGTAAGTTTGCCTTGATGATAACATAACACCACATACGGATATCCTTGCATCTTACATCCGTTATTTTGGTATATATGAAAATGATGAAAATATACTGTCGAGACATTAATTTATATAATGCGATTGAGTAAGCGGTGTAATGCCAGCGATAATCTTTTTCATTATATTTTTTATGGTGATCGTGGACAGTAAGGGTTAAACAAACCCCATAGCCGGCAAACACTGATTCAGAAGTCGGATTTATCTGAGTTATAAATGATGATTTTTGGACGTCTATTAACCCGACTTCTATTTTTCATAGATACGATATAATCGAAAAGAACTCATGTCATTAGTAGATGCGGGTTTATTACGGGAGAAATTTAAAGAACAAGTGGACTGGAAAAATACAGCTTCTAGTAACATATCCATATTAAGAGAAGCAATAAAAGTACGTATCATTACGATTAATGAAAATAAATCAATTATTAATATTACATCTAATTTACTAGAAAGAAAATACACCGACCCACAACCATCTTTTCAAGAAATTATGTGAGATAGATATAGATGATTTAACACACGATGATCTATTGTGTAATGGTATAGTTGACCTAGGATCAGATCGATTTCAGATTCCAGAAAGTGAATATAATGATCTAATCGTGCGTATCTGTTGTATAATTAAACAATATTCTTTTTGAGTGTTAAAAATGAGTGATATTAATTACTATTTATACCGTACACCTACAGAAGGAGAAAGCATGTATAAGAACATTGAATAAAAATACTTTAATAAAGAATATATGTGCCGATTTTGTGGAAAAAAGAGATGAACTCCATCGATTATATAAGTTTGTATTATCAACAAAGGAAGCAGTGACGCATTCACGATGGATCGAGCAGGAGCAGGACAGGGAACGCATTGCAAGGGTTATTACTGATGTTCTTTTACAGGAGATAAGGTTTAATGCACTTCGTAAAATCTCTAGAGGGTCTGAAAATTCACTAGTAGAAATCATAGCACGACTGATGCTACTATGTATCGTCTACCTGTTGAATGTGAAATTGATGTAACAAGGGCCGAACGGCAAAGTAAAGCCAGCAAAAACCGCAAGGTTAAACAAAGTATAGGATCAAGAGGGGATAAGCCAGATCTCATGATACGATCATATCACCGGCAAAAATGGGAGGAAATCGTGTACTTCGAGAGTGGCAAGTGGAAATCCAACGATAACAAAATACTTGATGACCATAATAAACTAGCTCAATTCTGCCTTGATGGGTATGATGAGATCGAAAAAAAGTGCATAACTGAAGTTCTCTACAAAAATTATATGGGTTTTGGTGTTAATGTTGCAGGTGAATACCTTGTAATCCATGGACTTGCACGAGAAGGAGGGGTTAAATATTATCTTCCGGTATCTAAAGCGAAAATACCACTCAATATGGAATCGGTTGAAGAGGTGGAAGAATTTATTCATGCTCTATTAACATTACGAGTAAGTGTTCCTTTCCATAGAAATTGCGCAATTAATCAATAACCTGATTTTTATTATTATTTTTAGAATGGAATTATTGTGAATTTGCAATGTCTTGTTAATAGTTTTCAGACGAGAAGCAAGAAGAATAAATAAATCAATATCTAAAAGACAAATGGAAGATAGTTCTACGGTATCCACTCATAGGTTTGGTTTTATATCTATTTCTTAATATTTCTTTGTTTTTTTTTTCATTAAATAAAGCTATCCATATAAATATCAAAAAATAAGCCAATTAATTACTGTGCACACTAAGAATACCCAAATCGAGATTATTTATCTCTAGATACCTCTTCATAGTCGAATACCGCTTTCTTATCTTGAGTATTTCTATTTATGATAATTATATGTTCTCCTTCCATAACGTGCATATATTTATTCCGGTTTTAAGATTGTATATACTGTGTAGGATTCGTGGTAAATTTACCTTGTGTTTTACGTCTGTTATTTCTAGATTTGCGGGACATATTAAAGTACTAGATACATTCATATAGGTTTCAGTCCTGAAGAAATTCGTCTTCCAATTACAGAGGAAGATAAACAGTTTTTTCGAGAATTAATAGCAGATCAAGAAAAATTCTAGCTCATATTGAAAAAAGATTCAAAGACCTTCCACTCGCACCAGTTGTTATAGTTGATTAGATTTTATCCTGCCATGTAGACAGGTGATAGAGATATATCAATATCAATAATTAGGCAGTTGCAACCTCTGGCTAATTTTTCTTTTTACTTTGCGACTTCGCACGCTCTTATATGTATGTGTTTCTTCTGATCCCGAAGTAGACGAAGAAGTGCTTGATTCAGAAGTATCAGAGTTAGTATCTGATTCCGATTCTATGATGGAATAATTGACCTTATTTTTCTTGCTTTTATTTTGCTGTAAGCGAGAATCAGAAGAACCCGACTGATTATCAAACTTATACACAGGTACTACTATGGATTTTCCTTTCCTTCCGGCAAGATTTTTGATACGAAGAGTTGTTCTTACCCAACCATCCTCCGCGTCAGTTACAATTTCCGCTCTATATGTCTGGAGCTCTTCATCATCATATTTTCGACCGGTGAACCAATCAAACCCTAACATGATATAATTGGGAAATTCGGGATGATGTTTTACGATTAATACCTGGGTTGGAATTGTAATAGATGCATATTGTTTGCTAAATCGACTACATTCTACACTTGAAGTAAAAGTAAGTGGAATCACGGTCCATCCAATCGGATATGTAGTCATCTCCCTGAAAAATCTACTATCTTTATCTTCAGAACTTATTCGTCTAGTGATTTTCCCACCAATGTGCTTGAGAATTTTATCGCTACATATACTTGGCCCCAAAAATCCCGGTTCGAGACAGCAGTTGACTTCTTGATCTTTAAATTTAGCTTTGGTTATTTTCATGGTAAGTTATATTATGTGTTATATATTCGATTGAAAAAATAACCAATAATTTACTAGATTCAAACTTGGCCACATCTATGGAGCGTGTGAATCATATTTTTCAGATTCCGGGTTGCCCTTTTAATAATTTCGAAGTTACGATGTGGTTATAATTATTTTCAGATTGAATTTGCTATATTCACTATATATTTATGCGTTATTTTTTCCGCATTAATTATATTACCACATTATAACAATCATGACGAGTAATACTAATAATAAAACTGATCAAAGCGAAACATGTGCCCCTTTATATGAAGTGCTTTTATATAAGAAGGATATAATAGCAATTCAAGAAAAGCTTGGTATTAACAGTAATATAAATCAAACGACAGCGTTGGAGAACAAGAAAGCGAAAAAACTTGATGATTCATATGAATTGTTGTTAGAATTGGTGGGGGGTTTAATACTTATACAGGGGGGACTTGGTATAGATATCAATCCCGTTTTAGAAGCGGAACTTAGAAGGGATAAAGCCTCTTCAGATAAACCAATTAGATTATTTGATTTGCTTTTATCTTTAGAAGATGATATAGTGGTAATTCAGGATAAACTCGGTATTATTGGTTATTCTAATCAAGAAAGGGCAGAAGAAGTTGATGAGAATGTAAGAGCACAACTACAAAAGCTTGAGGAATTTCACGGTCCATTAGAAGATGATCCAGGTGTAATTTTACCGAAATATGGTGAAATGGGGACTAGATACATTCATATAGGTTTCAGTCCTGAAGAAATTCGTCTTCCAATTACAGAGGAAGATAAACAGTTTTTTCGAGAATTAATAGCAGATCAAGAAAAATTCTAGCTCATATTGAAAAAAGATTCAAAGACCTTCCACTCGCACCAGTTGTTATAGTTGATTAGATTTTATCCTGCCATGTAGACAGGTGATAGAGATATATCAATATCAATAATTAGGCAGTTGCAACCTCTGGCTAATTTTTCTTTTTACTTTGCGACTTCGCACGCTCTTATATGTATGTGTTTCTTCTGATCCCGAAGTAGACGAAGAAGTGCTTGATTCAGAAGTATCAGAGTTAGTATCTGATTCCGATTCTATGATGGAATAATTGACCTTATTTTTCTTGCTTTTATTTTGCTGTAAGCGAGAATCAGAAGAACCCGACTGATTATCAAACTTATACACAGGTACTACTATGGATTTTCCTTTCCTTCCGGCAAGATTTTTGATACGAAGAGTTGTTCTTACCCAACCATCCTCCGCGTCAGTTACAATTTCCGCTCTATATGTCTGGAGCTCTTCATCATCATATTTTCGACCGGTGAACCAATCAAACCCTAACATGATATAATTGGGAAATTCGGGATGATGTTTTACGATTAATACCTGGGTTGGAATTGTAATAGATGCATATTGTTTGCTAAATCGACTACATTCTACACTTGAAGTAAAAGTAAGTGGAATCACGGTCCATCCAATCGGATATGTAGTCATCTCCCTGAAAAATCTACTATCTTTATCTTCAGAACTTATTCGTCTAGTGATTTTCCCACCAATGTGCTTGAGAATTTTATCGCTACATATACTTGGCCCCAAAAATCCCGGTTCGAGACAGCAGTTGACTTCTTGATCTTTAAATTTAGCTTTGGTTATTTTCATGGTAAGTTATATTATGTGTTATATATTCGATTGAAAAAATAACCAATAATTTACTAGATTCAAACTTGGCCACATCTATGGAGCGTGTGAATCATATTTTTCAGATTCCGGGTTGCCCTTTTAATAATTTCGAAGTTACGATGTGGTTATAATTATTTTCAGATTGAATTTGCTATATTCACTATATATTTATGCGTTATTTTTTCCGCATTAATTATATTACCACATTATAACAATCATGACGAGTAATACTAATAATAAAACTGATCAAAGCGAAACATGTGCCCCTTTATATGAAGTGCTTTTATATAAGAAGGATATAATAGCAATTCAAGAAAAGCTTGGTATTAACAGTAATATAAATCAAACGACAGCGTTGGAGAACAAGAAAGCGAAAAAACTTGCTGATTCATATGAATTGTTGTTAGAATTGGTGGGGGATTTAATACCCATACAGGAGAAACTTGGTATAGATATCAATCCCATTTTAGAAGCAGAACTTAAAAGGGATAGAGCCTCTTCAGATAAACCAATTAGATTATTTGATTTGCTTTTATGCTTAGAAGACGATATAGCAACAATTCAGGAAAAAATCGGTATTGTTGGTTATACTAATCGAGAAATAGCGGAAGAAGCCGATAAAAATGCGAGAGTGTACCTTCGGAAGTTTGAGAAATTTCACGGCCCCTTAGAAGATGTTCCAAGTGTGTTAATACAGAAATTCATCGATAGTGGGGTAAAGAAATTTTGGTTTACTGGAGAGGGACTACCATTATTTCCAAATGTCTCTCCTCAACAATTGCATGAGATTTTCGTCAAAAAATTAGCTAACATCGATCAGTGTCCATGTCTAGAATCAGAAGTAAAACAAGGAAAATTATCACAGATGTATATACATCACAGCAAATAAAAATTCTTCTATAGCCAGAATAATGCGAGTCTGAATCGTCTAATGATGAAGAAGATTTTACTGTGGATGTGGTAAAAGTAATGAAGCGTAATTAGTTATCATATGAGTGAAATCTCACAAGGTTTTGGTTTTTGCACAATTAATTTTATTATTATTATATAGAATTCTCAAGTTTTCACAAATACAATATGGATCAAATTTTTGATTTTAAGCAATGAAAGATGCCAGAATTAATTTTTCAGTGGAGTACCTTGATAAGACAAAGCCTCAAATCCCTGATTCCTCAGATGGTAATATACCTAGAGATTATGAAAAAACAAGCGAATTTCGTTATGTAAAAAAATTAGTAAAAACACTTAATAAAAGTAAATTTTTAGATTATTTTGATAAATGTCGAGAATGTAATAAATTATTTCATGACCCTGATTTAGGAAGTTATTGTAAAAAACATATACTAAATAAACGAGGTTGCTGTAAAAATCATTGTTGTATTGATGAAGAAGCTGGACATTGTATATTACATTGTATAAAAAAAAATTGAAACTTATATTAATAAATGCGATAGTAATTAGTTATACTAGCTATTTCCAGCTAATCTAGATATCCCCATATAAGTTGTAGATATCCTCAATTTCATCATATTCTTGTTTAGGTACTGGAATAATTGGTCTATTATTCATTATACCATAATGATCTGATGCTTCTCGATTTATTTTGTGCCTTAATGCTAATTTACAAAGACGGTTACATTTAGAGCGAGTCTTACCTTCGTGGATTATAATAGCATGATCGGAACCTATTTTTCTTAAATACGATGAACTAATGCCATAGGGGATTAAAAAGTTATTAATCAGATGGACATTCACATCACCATCTTTATCTTTTATTAGAAATGGGAATTTTTGGGGAATTGATTTTTGGATCCAAATAAGTAATTCTCTAGCCCGTAGTGGGTCTTTCTCCATTGATACAAGTGGCCTAGGCTCATCATCTTTATTTTTGGCATAGCCAGTGCAGTACCAAGAATATTTAGGATCATACCATTCTGCATTATTTGAATTATACTGGTCTATATGAAGATTTCTCACATCTGCTGGCCTCATACAAAGCATTACCATTATATCGATTAAATTTTGTATTGTAGGAGGATTAGCTGTGTCACATTTTTGAAGTCGTCCCTGTACTTTTTCTAGAGTAAAGAATTCAGGACAATCGTATCCTTCACCTTCACGAAGCTCTTGTCTTCTCTCTTGTTCTTTATTTGATGCACGACTAATCTCTGGGTCATATATTGCTTCTAATGTAATGTAATTGGCATTGAGTTGGCGTAATTCTTTTCGAAGCAATTTAAGAAGTGAAGATTGGGCTATTTCTGTAGGGCCCGTTTTTGCTAAATTACGAGCCAATTCATTTATTTCTTTGGCTTCAAGATTACCTTCATTCTCCTTAATATACAAAGCAAGTTTTTTAACTGATTCCCTACCTGTAACGCGTCTTCCAGAAGTTTGGACAGGAATTAAAGCATATGTTTGATCTTTACTAAATCCTAATTTCTGGATCCGATTTCGTGCATGATCACGGGCCTTCGCATCTTTCAAATGTTTAACCAATTCTTCAGCATAATTGCTAAGTTCGGCTATACTCATCTGAGGAGTTAAGTTATACTGATTTACGAAATTTGTTGCAACTTTTGACATTGTAGATTGGGATATTTGCGCGGACTATAACTATGGAATATATTTTTTCAAATCGAAATTAATTATCCCAGGTCAGTATATATACCCAAAAATTGAATGGGTGGCGATTAATGTAATTCTATCGAGAAATGGATTCAGATAAAACACGATATCGATCAGACATGAAGTGTCATTTCTCCCGAAATAAAGCCTTGGAATCCGTAGCTTTACGTAATAAAATCACTAAAAATATCAATGGGATCAAAGAGGATATAGCATTACTTAAAGAGGTTTTGGAAAAAATAATCAATATATGCCAGGTATACGATACACATCAATGCCTTGGAACTGATCTGTCGATTTGAAATCTTACTAACATATAGAATACAACAAAAAAAAATATAGCTTCGGAGTTGCGATCCAGGCTATAGTAATATCATTTGGTTTTATCGTTTTATTTTTTTACAATGCTTGGAATAGTTTCCGGTATGTTTCTATACTTATGGACCATTTTTTGTAAATATCAGGTCTGTTTTCCATTATTTCAATCAGTGGTACCATAGCTGGGTAGGACAGAGCATTCATGAATCTAATTTGCTCAGGATAGTAATAATCCATAGCATCTGGAAGCTGTAAAAACTCTGACAAATCTTTTACGTACCTAAATCCATTGCACATTAGTCTGTGGAATGTTGACCCGTTGTGATCAATCTCTCTCTTGGTTAATAAGTTGACTATTTTCTGGGATGTTTCCATTAAGAGTTACTAGTTATGAAAATGATAATAGTTGATTGTTACTTATGAAAATGATAAGTTTAATTGGTTATTTTCAAAGACCTGGATCATATACGAAAAAATAAATGATAATACTTATCTAGTAAATTGCTTTACAGATATAGAAATCAAGTGTATAGAGTTTCTTTCGCACACTTCTGTTTATAATAATTGTATGCTCTTTCCCTGCCTTGTCCACATGGAACACAAAGTTGAACACTCGATTTTGTCCCTCGTCCACATCCTTTACATGGTTGGGGAATTATTACACCCTTTCGAATTTTGAATGCATGGGAGGCGCAATACTGCCCTCTTGCTGGGGTCTTACAGAAATGAGTCTCCCCAATTAATAACCAATTACAAGGCATTTTCGATTATTCTATATTCACTTTCATATTTAAAATTAAATTCGAGAAGGATGTGTTATATTAAAAAACGATTGATCATGACGAAATATCAAGGAATATATACCTGTATGTGGCCCTCCTGAGGTTAAAACAATTAATGCTTCTTTTGGAGAAATCTGTCACTTACTAGAATGTACTAGTAGTTGGCATATAACAATTTATGACTTGGAAAATTATGATCTTGCTTTATTATACGATGATGACGATTACAGAAAATTATCTCTCAAAGATCTTCGTAAATTATTAAAAATACCCTATAATAGGGAGCGGAGTGAAAATGCCAGTAGGAAAATGTTAGAAGATGTACAGGCTTTTTTGAAGCGACAGCAAGATACTAAAGATTATACTTTGGATGCGAAATGAGATATAAGTACACTTTCATGAATTGGAATATTTTTTGATCCAAATTTTTATATTAACCAGTTGTAGAGAGCAAAAAATCCCCTATATCGAAGCTCCTACCTGCAAAATTCACCTTATTCGTTCCTCATCGACTAAGCAATTACCATAACATACCATTTTCCTGGAGTATGTTAATCGTTTTTTTCCATTCCTCATCAGTATCCAGCCACGAAGTCGTGATTCCATCTTCCTCGAGAGAACGGTGGATTATTTCTTCACTTATTAATCTTTCTCGTACTGTCATATCCATATATTCACTGGGATTTTCTTCGGCCTCCTTTGCATAACCACACATTCTCGCATCAGTCTGCATTCTATCACGGAATGCTATGGAATCGAGCTTATCTTTATCAGTTATAGTAATGAAAATCTCTGGATCCTCACCAAGTTTGATGGCTTTTTGCCTTAATCGTATTTCTCGTTGCTCCCTGGTTTGATATCCGAGCGGGTATGATATCTGCTGGGGAGGTGCTTCGTTGCTGGCTCTCAGTTCATTTTCCACAGATTCAATAGGAGATGGTTCAACTTCATCATTCACTGGTTTAATGATCTCAGAAGCTGGTTCGGATCTATCATCTACAGATTCTACATGTTCGATCTCGGGAGGCAGAGATATATCGGTAGACTTGGATGATAAAGCAACTGAACTTTCATTTTTTATAGAATCGAAGAGGTCTTGGGTCATGTTAGTAATGGGTGGAGCTGGTGTTGCAATTTTGGGTGCGTCGAATATAGGTATATCTGTGGGAGTGTTAGTGGATATTTCGGCTTGAGGTGAATCTGAAAATTCCTCGATATCGCCAATTGATTCATGTAACTTAGCTACTATTTTGAATCGGTCTAGGATGTATATCCATTCTCTTTTTCCATTTATTCGTACTTGTTTTCGTTCTATACCAATTACTGGAAGAGTTTTTCCGAATTTTTTACTAGTAAACGAATTTTCACCATTACTACCGCACCAAGTAAGATAATTTTGATATAGATTTGCACAGATTGTTTTTTCTGTCTGATTTTCAACCCAGGATGAAATAAGCTCAATTACGAATCGAATGGAGTTTGGTAATTGATCCCGTATTGTTTCTGTTTTCATTTTAGTAACAGGGATATCTTCTGGATCCCAATTAGATAAATCACGATTTAAAAGATATCTCATAACTACTCCTGGTGCATCAGGATGATTAAAAACCTTTCCTAAATTCTTAAAGTATGCTCTATTACCTCTACATCGTGAAGATGCATCGAGGCAAACTATACGCCCATCGCCTATATCTACTTTTAGTGGGGTATCATGATTACTGGTAACCATAAATGCGGTATAATCTTTAAGATCCACAGAATCGACACCCTTGTGTTCTATACTTACCTTATTTTCTGATATGAGTGCTTTAAGATGATCGTTAAATTTATGCCATTCTCCGCTAGCCATCCCTGTCTCATTCATAACGACAAGTTTTCGGCCTTTTATAACACTATTGAATTTTCCAAGAACTTTTCCTAAATCGGATGTAGCATAGTATAGTGCTGAACCCAAAACTTTTTCGCCAATAAAATCAATTATAATATTTTTTCCACAACGTTGTAAAATAGATTTTAAAACCAAAATTGTTTTAGGTTTTTCTAGCGGAAATTGCACCAAAAATGACCATCAATTCCAAATATATTCATTAAGTTTATCATTTTCATCACAAATTACATATTTTACG